AGAGTTTTGCAAAACCGAGGTTAAATTTTTTGCGGCCGGTAGCTGGTCGCAACCCGAAAAGTTCGTAAGCAGAGGCGTTCGTGACCCGAGGTACCACTGTACTTTGTAATGCGTTTCCGAAGTAGATAAATCTCCCATTTTGAGCCAAGAGTTAGAATTAAAAAAATCTGCCAATGATTCCATTTCTAGAGAGAGTTAGGTACTTAGTTTTATTCCAACATTTCCAATGTTACTGAAATCACTTGGGCTAACATATATCTAATGATTCTTTGTGTAAGTTATGGAAGGGAAAAATAATAGTTATGAAACACAGCAGGTGATGGAATTCATGAAAGATACTACAATAGAAAGTTATAACCCATACATGCTGACTCTCTTGATATTGGGTAAAAACGTTTGGAGTAATACAAATATGGCAGTGTTTTTAATGGTAATGGCTGTTGAATTATTTGCCATACATCACAAAATTTTCCATATAGTATTTCTTTTCCATATTCAGAAAGCAAGACAGAAATGCTACATGGATCTTACATTGGTTTATGTATGCTAGTGTACAGTTCCAAGATTTTAATTTGGATGTAAAGTCTGCAGTCTGGTTTGGTAAATAAAACATCATTTGACTTTTATGTAATCTAGTTTATCCTGGGAAAGGAAAGAGTGCTTCAAATTACCTAAAAAGAGCATTTCCATCTCTCTGTAATAAATACAAATCCATTATTATTTGTTATTACAGTTTTACTCTGGAAGGCTTCTAGTTTTATTAGGTAGGGATCCTTCCACTTTATAAAACTAAAACTGCAAAAAACTAAAGAGATTAAATTTTGTCTTAACAGGTAAAGGACTTGGATAATCGTGGATTGTCAAGAACGTAACTTGCCTTCAGATGTACCATAATAAGCACTGATCGAGCCTTTGTGAAACAGATGGTTTTTATACTTTTTGTCAGCATGGAATTGGGACTTAATTGCCCAAGAAATCCCATCTTCGTGTAATGAATCTGTATTATGATTTTTATAAATACAAACCTGCTACCAAATCAGGAGTAGCTTTACGATAGGATAATTAAAAGGGTGTGGAAAATGTGGATTCTTGTTCATTTCTTTCTCTTTTGTCTCTTGATAATTCACAGTGGTAGTTAAAATCAGTTTTCCTTAATCCAGTGTTTCTCAACCTCAGCAACTTTAAGAAATGTGGACTTCAACTCCCAGAATTCTGGGAACTGAAATCCACACATCTTAAAGCTGCTGACGTTGAGAAACGCTGCCTTAATCCGTTGTTCCCCAGATTGGGGATAGTGGGAATTTCTGCCCAATAGATCTGGATGGTACCAATCTGATTGCTGATCTAATTGATCTGATATTTATAGATCAAGAGGGTGCCAGCAGTTGAATTAGCTCTCCCAACTTGTTCTCCCATACTATTTTTTTCCTTTCCTGCATACTCCAGTGATATAAAGATATAAATGGGCCTATTTAGTCTGTTGCTTGTTTGGCTTTATACATTATGAAGTAAGGTATTCATGATAAAAAGAAGAAAAAAATCCAAGAGCCATCACATACCCTAGGTAAATTATACATAATCTTTCAGAAATCTGCCTGTTTTAAAGAAGTAGCCATATGATTGAAGGGTGCTCCCATTTAATTTTGATAAAATATTCAAATTGGGGGGGGAAACTGGAAGAGTTATGCTGTGTAATACAGTGGCCAAATTTTTCCTTGATACTTCGTCTGATTTTATGGAGATTTCTGAGAACTCAGTATCCCAGCTTTTCTTCTACCATTTGCTGGAATGAAAGTACAAAGCTGGTGGTGTTGGATGTGTACAAACTAAAACAATAAAAGAAGGAAGAGATCTGGATGGCAAAATATAAACATAAATAAATGGCATGTCAGATTATGGTCTCTAGTTCCCAGCAGTTAACTAGGGTAAACCTGTTAGCCTTGTGAATACTGCAATATTCCTTTTTGTAATGGACACTGGAATGCGGGGGGGGGGGGGAACGTGGTCAAGAATGAAAGAAATTGAGATGTGGCCACATTTCAAATGTATGTTGAGAAGCAAATCACAGGTTTGCTCAGAAGCGAGCCCTGCTACATTCAACAGGTTTTATATTTAGTTAGGGTTTCTCAACCTTGTGCAACTTTAAGATGTGTGGACTTCAACTCCCAGAATT